CATGGGCAAAAGTCAGGTAATTCTTAAAATTTTGCTCGTAAATGAGAAAATGTGTGTGAAAAAACAATGAGACTATACATAATGCTTCCCCAACTCATTACAGAGGTAATATATTTCCGGGGTTTGGCTTGAAACTTCTCAGCTGAAGTGCTTAGTGTGCTACTGGTTTGCGGAATAATGGGATGCTCTGCCAGTTTGAAAGATCATTCCCTGTTTGGGATTTATGACTTCTTTGTCTAACAAAAAAGCATGAACATGTTATCTCTATTGTGACATAACCCAACAACGAGTCGGGATTTTCATTAAGGAGATTCAAAATATAACAAAGTAAACATAGGAAGAAGCCGAGGGAGTCAACATCTTAAAGACACAATCAAGAGATTAGAAGTGTGACATCTCTCTAACAGCTTAAGCTTTTCGACGAGATGACCACACAATTCAGTATTGCACCACAATACATAGATGTCTTGGAATCGAGTCGCACCACCACTCATTATCAAATAAAAACTTTTCACATGCTTGACCATAATAAGGAATCAAGTCTGCACGTGAGAGGACGTGTTGAAGACATAACTTCTATAGCTTCAGTTCCAAATCAACATTTCCTCCTACTTCAGTATGCAAGTCATCACTTCCATGAGTTCCTTCTCGACCAATTTGCACCTTTGCAGGTGGGAAGAACCCGAGGATCGGCTGTTGAACTGATATGCTTAGACCTGAAGGAGGCATATGCTCTGCAGCAGCTACCCGTGGATTAAAAATACATTCGTTAGATAGTGAAATCAAGATAAAACAGCACAGTACAAGAAGACGAATATAAACGTTAAAGTCCTTTAGTCTCACCCGAGAGGGAACATGGTCGAATAGCTGAAGGCATTGTGGGGCTGAATCAGTTAAAGAACACCGATTTACTGCTTCTAAATGTGGCAAAGCTACTGCTGGAGGAGCTAAGCTGAGAAAATCTCCATTTAAAACTTTAGTTTCTTTTACTGAAATTGATAGTTTGGACTTGTTAAGGTTACGGTGTTCTCTCTGTCACCATAGTAATGTAGAATACCGCTAACAATTACAGTATTGCACCTAACCTCATCTTGTGTTTGGATTAACCCTAGTTGAAGAAGTGGCCATCATGACCGGAACCACCACTGGTGGGGACCTCCCACTGGTGGATTTTCCCCCGCTACCCACACAAAAGAAGCCAGACACCCAGCCGTTTACAAATCCTTTCCAATATGCCAATCTGTTGAAGCCAAAGCCAATCACTCCCCCAAAGCTCATTGTGCCGCCCAAACCAGTTATTATCCTTCATGGAGAACCAAGCATTACATGGAAGACTTCGGAGGTGAAGTCTCTGATAATACAAGAAAAACTACAATATGCAATTGTAGGGAAATTCTCATTGGCAAGCCTGATGTAAACGAATTGAGGAGAACAATACCGGGGTAATGTGGAATCAAAAGCGAATGCATCATAGGCGTCCTGGATGCGAGGCATATTCTGATTAGACTAACAACGATGGAAGACTATGTTCATCTTTTATCCACTGTTGCTTTTTACGTAAAGGCGAAAGAAAGTTATTGGCAGATGCGAACTCTTAAATGGGATCCTTGGTTTGAACCAGAAGTATAAACAACTATTGAAGTGGCTTGGATATCTTTTCCAGATTTACCTACAAATTTCTTTGCAAAGGAGGCGCTTTTCTCAGTAGCCAGTGCGATTGGAAAACCCCTAACAGTGGATATGGCTACAAAGAATCAGACGAGACCTAGTTGTGCAAAGGTCAAAATTGAGGTGGATCTCACTGCAAAGCTTCCCCAAAGAGTGAGAATAAATGAGGAAGATGACAATACAGGGGAGATCAGATACAAGTGGATTAAGGTACAATATGATCATATGCCAAAATACTGTAAGGATTGTTGCCTTCAAAGGCATGATGAACAAAACTGTTGGACGCTACACCCTGAACTATATGAGGCAAACAGTGAAGAAGATAAAAAATTAGAGGGGAAAACAAAATCAATACCAATTATGGGAACAGCGGCAGATCAAAGAAGAACTCTGGCAAGTGGGAAAGTAGTGGGGAACAAACAATATCAACAGGAATGGATGGTACGAAGAATAAATAAATACAGGAGAGATAAGAATGGCCATATTGAAGGGGAAATAGATTACTACCATGAAAATGCTTTTGAAACTCTAAGGGAGGAAAAGGAGCACGAAGCTGGTACTGAACAAACGACTAAAGAATGGTTGAACAGTCAATTTGGCAAAGGGAAAGAGAAAGTAGATTCAGAGAAGGAGAAACAACTAGAGGTTGCAGATGCAAGTACAATGCCGAATCAAAGCACGAGATCATTCAAAAAGAACAAGGGCAGGAAGAGTCATCACAATGCACACAAGAAGAGACTTGTAGAGAATCAAAGGACGAGAATGGTAAAAAGAATGAAGGTGCAATGGTGGTATATGGGATGACTAATGAAGAAGTAACCCCATTGGCCATAGAGATGGCAACAGATGAGAGTGATCAGAAGGGAGAAAACGTGGAGGAAAAGGACATACCTCAAAACATAGATAAGGCTGGTAGTGATGGCAATCTATCCCCAAAGCAGATCAACATTTCAAACAATTGGACGCTAGCTATATAGAATTCAACAGACAGGGGTGATCAGAAGGAAGAAGTTATGGATAAAGAGGACATGGATCAAAACATAGATAAAATCGCTATCGAAGGAGACTTATCCCCAAAGCATGTTGGCAGATTAAAGGATACACACACGAAGCAGAAGAAACAAAGTGAGAAGTTTATAAAGGAGGCCCAAGCACTATCTAGGCAATCAAAGAGAACGATTATCAAAAATTCCAAGTATCAATGAGGGCCTTGATATGGAATATTAGGTCGGTAAATACTCATAAGGCGTTTACTAGACTTATTAATTTGCATAAAAGACATCAATATTACTTTGTGGGGCTAATGGAACCATTTCAAGATAGACAAGGGTTAGAAGATTATCGAAGGTTACGGATGCAACATGCTGTCGCAAACTCTAACGGGAAGATATGGGCGTTTATGGATGAGGTAATGGAGTATGAAATAGTGAGAGATGAGGATCAAATGTTAACCCTTAAGTTGCATAATCAAAGTGCTGGAATGGATGTGATGGTCTCTCTAGTGTATGCTAAGTGCACACAGATTGATAGACTAATCCTGTGGGAGTCTATGTCTGATTTAGCAAGTACAAAATGGATGGTTGGAGGGGACTTCAATGTGATATGTAATGAGGAGGAGAAATTAGGAGGTAGACCTGTTACGGAGGCAGAGGTAAGGGACTTTAACTATTGTATAAATGTATGCAATTTGGAGGATAGGGGCTTTAAAGGTAGCAAATACACTTGGTGGAATGGTAGATTGGGAGAGGAATGCATCTTCAAAAGACTAGACAGGGTACTGGGGGATGAAAAGCTGCAAGATGATTTTTCCGATATTAGAAGTGGAGCATATGGTAAGAAGTGGATCGGATCATACTCCTTTATCGATCACTTTCAAAACCAATACAGAGGAGGTGATTAGGCCATTTAGATTTCTCAACTTTTGGATTAAAGAGGAATCCTTCATGAAAGTGGTTAAACATCACTGGAGAGCAGATTTCGAGGGGGACCCGTTTATGATATTCCATCATAAACTAAAACGGGTCAAGAAAGCCTTAACGCAATGGAGTAAGATGACATGTGGTCCCCTATTCATTGTTTGTCAGTGATGAATCCACCAAGTAATGTACTGAACCAGGTCCAAAGAATTATGGCTCAATTTTTCTGGAGTAGCTGCATCGGGAGAAGGGGGAGACACCGGAGCAAATGGAATAATTTGTGCCTTCCAGAAAAGAAAGGAGGACTAGGGCTTCGATTAATGCAAGATGTATCAATGGCGTTGTTCTGCAAGTTATGGTGGAATTTCAGAACAAAGCAATCCTTATGGAGTGAATATATGATGAACAAGTATTGCAAATGTAAAAATCCCAATCTGATTATGTGGAAGGTGGGAGAGGAGGCTCGCAAGTATGGAAAAAGATGTTGCAAGCTAGAGATTTAATAGATCATCAGATCCTATGGAGTCCAAGAAGTGGAACAGCGTCAGTGTGGCATGATAATTGGACAGGATTGGGAGATTTATATACTGTCACGGGTGAAGATATTGAATGGGATTACAGGTATGGCACGATTAAGGAGCTCACTAACCAGGGGGAATGGGATACAGAAGTCTTGGGGACTATTCTTCCTTCCGAATTGGTCTAACATATTATATCTCATATTAAGCCACCTCAGGGTAGTGTGGAGAGAGATAAGCCTTATTGGATGTTGGATACGAGTGGGAAATTCACTGTAAAATCAGCTTGGAACTATATCAGACATAAAGAAGTTCTGAATAGAGTTTACAAATGGATATGGACTAAAGGGGTCCCTTTCGAAATGACCTTTATGATGTGGAGGCTATGGAAATTAAAGATCCCAGTAGATGATAGATTGAGAAGGTGGGGAATTGAGGGGCCATCGAGGTGTTGGTGTTGTGAACAGCCTGATCAGGAGACATTGGCCCATGTCTTTCTCAAATCAGATTTTGCTAACAGGACTTGATCCTATTTCTGTTCTTTTGCAGGTTTTAGCATAACAAGATTACCATTGAGAGAGGTGATAATGTTGTGGTGGGGAGAAAGTAGCAAACAACTTGAAGCCTTATTATAGAGCACTCCCTAGCTTTATAATATGGGAACTACGGAAGAGGAGGAATAAGAGGAAGCACGAAGGAAAGAATACATCATTACAAAGAATCATTCATAATGTTACTAAAAGTATGTACATGTTGATAAAAGTGAGAAGGCCAAGGATGTAAGTAGCAGGCAGATGGCCAGATATGCTAAAACAACTGGAGACAACAGGCTCACAGATGAAGATAACCAAGGTAAGTTGGGATTACCCCCCTGAGGGATGGGTAAAATACAACACAGATGGCGCGTCTAGGGGGAGTAAGTTCATATGGATATTGTTTAAGGGATGAGAAAGGTGATCTTATTAGAGCGGAAGGATTTAATATAGAGAGCACGACGAACACAGTGGCAGAAGCAAGAGCTATACTAGCAGCAAGTAGGCATTGCAAGCAAGAACAGTATCACCACGTAATTATCCAAACAGATTCATTATTATTATGCAAAGTGCTAGAAGAAAAGTGGACATGCCCGTGGATAATAAATGGAATAGTAGAAGACACAAAGGAGAGCTTACTAGGCAAACAGTACAGGTTTCAGCACATAATGAGAGAAGGAAATCAACTTGCAGACTATGTGGCAAACATGGCTATAGAAAAAGGAAATTGCATATTCACAGATTTTCATAGCATGGATGCGTAAGGAAGGAGGCTCATCAACAGTGACAAACTTAACAACCCATACATAAGAGTATCATCAAAGAGGAGATAATGGGGAAATCATTATTGTCCCAAAGAGGAAACATCATTCAGGTGATAGGGAGGGTTGATGAATGGAAGCAAAGAGGAGGAATTAAGAAACTCTATTCGTAAGGAAGTGTTTATAGGCTTAGGGATTGGGCTGTGTCTGATCCTAAATAATCTGTTTTTTTTGTTGTGTCCTTTAGATTTGAGCGATAGGCCCAAATGAGTGATGTATTTTGGTGATTATCAATAAAAGCTTTCAAATTCCAAAAAAGAAGAAGATAGTTTGGACTCTGACAAAGCTCTCGACTTTGACACAACTTCTCTATAAAAATGCCAAAATGACTAATTATCAGGCTCACGAATATTAAGATTAAGCAACTTTCAGGTAAGATATAGAACCTTTTAAGTTTTAAGTGCATTTCCCTCTACTACATTGACTGAGCACTCGTTGCTGCTGGAGGCAGTTTCGTGTGATCTGGATATATGGACAACACAGCACATTTTGCATTGAAATGAAGGGACAGGCGGGTATTCTGAAGAGAACGGATAGGGCATCTTCACACCAGCCATCTATATTACATCAGTAACAAGAAAAAATATAGCTATTCAGAAAAATAGACATCAAATTTATAAGCATACACAACTAAGAAGCCTAGCATTCTATCTTTGGTGGGAGAGTTCATTCATCCCCAAAGAGGCGGATCTAGGATTTGAACATTATGCATTCGAGTTCCCTATTCTACCACATTCCATTTATTTTACTAGTTCAAAACTTGTTTATTTAGTGGATCTTCTAAACACATGTACAGAGTCCGAGAAAAATCTACTAAGTTCGGATGAACCCATAAAGTATGTCTAGATTTACTCCTACATCTCAGACTCTCCAAAATTATCGTGCACCTGTGTCGGATTCTCCAAAAATGCATTATTTTTGCAGGATATTACATGCACCTGGTGACATTTTTGTAGAGTTCAAGCAACACATGGTTTAATAGACACTTAACCTATGTTTCGGCCTCTCATCGTCTCCTATTATATAGGGGATTGATCAAGCAAACTACTAATAGAATTACCTTGACTTCTTCAGGCCAATGGAGTAAATATTTGCAACCAATAGAATTACCTTGTAAATTTTGTACAGATGAGATATTCACCTACAATTTCCAAAATAGCAATTCTCCTCAGCAATTCAAACACAAGAAACAACTAACTATACACATGTTATCCCCAAATACATATATAACAAAAACAACAACATATCTAGTATAATTTCACAAGGGAGGTATGTGGAGGGTGATGTATATGCAGCCTTACCACCTACCTTGTGAAGGTAGATAGATTGTTTCAGAAAGACGCTCGACTCGAGTAAGCATATTAAAAATCAACTACGTAAAGCAAATACAGTAGTGAAGAAACCATATTGTTGAAGAAAAATTAAGAAGAGAACATGCAGCAACAACAAATAACAGCCCAATACATATATATATATCATATATTATTATAAGTGGGAAGCTCTCAAGTTAAAAGTTGAATTACAAAAATACCCTTCAACTAAAAAAAGAGATTTTTTAATAAATGGTTGAATATAATTCTATACTTATTAAGCTTTAATTGTTTTGTATAATAAAATAATAAATAGAAAATAAAAAGAATCAAAGAGACAACGATCAGATCATATTTTTTGATACTTAAAAACTTTTGGTTTTTTTGTGTTAGGAAAAAAAACCCTTTCCTTTCTTCATTTACATTTTTTAAAAAAAAAATAGACCAATAACTCTCTAAATTATCTAACCTTTCCTCTTACCCAATACCAAAAACTGTTTAAATTATCTAATCTTTCCTCTTCCCCAATTTATTACTCAATTAAATCTTAAGTTAATACTTTATATAATTATATATATTGAATGAAGATGAAAGCACTTCCTGAATATACCGTTTCATATTCCTTTTTTGTGCACTTAATATAATTTATATAAATGCAATTATCATATAAGGTAATAGGGCTGCTTCACTTCAGTTGCAACGTAATATTATGATATATTTTTTTCCCTCATTTTATTTTCATTTTTAATTTATTTTTTTATGTTTCATGTCTGATGTAGTGTATTTCTTTGCTTATAACAGGACATTTAGGTGAATACTTTTTCTTCCATATTATTCTCATTTGTAAATCATAAGGTATGTGCGTTTATAATTCATCCCTGATTTTTTAATAATATAGATGCTTTCTTAGTTTGATTCTTTTTTTTTACTGTTTATGGGGTTTCATAATTGGAGTGGTAGTTCCTTCAAACAAATATTAGTAAAAGACATTCCAAATATCGTGAAAAAGACATATTTAGAGTTGATTTATATTGTAAGCACATTTGAATTTTGCATATGATTGTTGTAATCCTCTTTTCTCATTTTCCAATTTTCGATTTCACTCTTAAAAATATAACAATGATTTATTTCCTAATGTAATCACCATTCCTTTGCCTTCTTTTTCATATAGAAGTGATGGTCAATTCATGATTTTATAAAATGAACTACAAATAGTTAATTTAATTTGTAGTTTTAGTGATAAAGTTTGGTTATTTTTTAGAGTGTGCAATTTATTTTCACCATTATAAATTAATTACATATACAATGTAAATTACCTTGGTTATTATTAATTATTTCTATTTTCCATCTTCCTATGTATTAACTTTTCTAATAATCTATTTATCTCCCTTTGCCTCAAAACATTGTTATCAAAATATATATGTTAACGATATTATTTTGTTTCTTTTGTTTTCTACTCTTTACCAAGCTACCATATAATAATTTTGAATTAGGCAATGGGTACACGTACCTATAATAATTATGATTTATATACATCAATTAGATATTTGAGCAATTATTATTTTTATCACTAATAATAACTATTTTTTTTTAGGTGTACACCAAAAATTGATAATAATCCACTAGCTATCATAAGAAAGGTATGTGTTGATCGAATTTATGTGCAATTTTTACAAAACACAATTCACATCCGATAACAACTTCTTGACATGTATGTGATTGTTATAAGGTGGAGGCTACAGTTTCTTAGAAAGAAGGAAAAAATTTTAGAACATGAAATATTTTGAACCTATAAGAGATACTTAAATTATGTGTCGTGACATATTAACAAAACTTTTATCAAGTTGAATACTTGACATATTAAATAAATACATAATTAAAATTGTTCTAATATTACTTTTGAAATTCACTTGATAGCAATATTTTAACATAATGTACCTTCTACTAATAATAATTTTTTATTGAATAGGCTAACCATTCATTGGTTTGAGCTTGTATTTTTTCTCTTCAATCACTATGCAAGTTATCACATAATGATCATCTTCTATCCATCTTAAGGAATACATAGATTGATTAGATTTCTATATAACTTTTGCAAAACATTACTCTCATTCGACAACAACTTCTTATTACGTATGCAAATCTTCAATTTTTGTGCAACTTATCACACACAAATTATAATGTTTTCAAAGTTCTTGTACTAATTAAGAATGAGATACATGGGCAACATACATGTTCAAGTATATATATATCGTCATAACAACTCCACATAATTTAGCATGGGACACACGTGCCCAGGACTAGTATATATATATATATATATATAGCTCCAAATATTTAATGAAGTTGACTTTTTTCTCCTTTGGTTACCCTCCAGTTGTCTGGTATCCATATTGGGATTCGGACAAATTCAGATTCACGCCAAAAAGTCTCACATTGGCAGGTTAAAAACTCCCTAACAAGGGCAATTTCATAGCTAGGGCTCTAACTTGAGACCCCTAGTTAAGTATATATGAAGGGCGTCTCGGGGCATTAAGATCCACTATGCGCAAGTCTGGAAAAAGGCTCGATCACAAGGGTCTATTGTACACAACCTTACCCTGCATTTCTACAAGAGGCTGTTTTGCAGTCACATGACAACAAATTTAGGTTATGCCAAGGCTCCCCTTCTCGTTAAGCATGAAGGAATACTAAAAACTCAATGAAGCTGACTTATACTAGGGAAGTTCAAATTATGCCCAAAAACTACACCATGATGATCAACTTTTTGGTTCACACCTTGACTATACTCACCACTCCACAATTTAGAGCAATTTTCAAGAAATGGGGATGATTGATTTGGTGTAAAGACACAATCTTTTAAAGAAAAATCAATTCTTGATGATGTTGGCATGAATTTGGGGCATTGAATTGTATGAAAAATTGAATCTTTTTTATGTTGTTCCTCTATATATGGAAAGAAAATCCATCCAACACAAAAGATTATTATTTTTCAAAGATACAGAAAAATCTGAGTTTTTTTTGGTAAAACTCCAAATGGAATATGTAGGCATTAAAGAAAATCTAAGGTTTTAGGAGGGAAAAGTTGAATTTCAATGAATTCATTTCATGAAATCTTGCAGGTCATGAAGTCAAGATTGGCTATTTATAAGGGAATTAACAATGAACATAAGATTAAATGTTGTTTGTTCAAATATTCTTTGGTAATACACCGAAATGATATTATTGAAAACATAGTAATATAACATAAGATTAAATGTCAACTCCGAAGGAAATTTAGTTGTTATAGTGATCTATCTATAACAACATCGTTTGTCTGGATATATTTTGGTTGCTACAACAAATGTTGCCATAGAGAACGTATATGAACATAAGATTAAAAATTGGTTTTAATGAAAAATTGATCATTATAGTGAAATGTTATTATAAAGATGAGATGGTCGCAAAATTCGCAATAAGCATAATTTAGGTCCAAAATTTGCAACACAGCCTTAATACTGAACCTAGCAAGATCAGGCAGAACTCAATCTCCATATTTTGTCGAAATGGTTGATTATTACAACTGAAAAATTTAAAAACTCAACTAAAAAGCGGAGCCTCAAGGCTAATGAAAACCTCTCTTCTGTGATCCAC